AAGGGACTCTGACACTATTGCACACGTGTGCATTTGCTCCAAACAGCTTAAGCAAAGGGAGGGAGCGACATCAGGCAATGAGGCAGCAATGATACGACTAAAAATGAATGAACGATACTCAGCAAAGGCCCACAAGCCACGCTTTTGCGGAGCAATCCCCCGAGACTCAAGAAGTAGCACCAGGGTGGGATGTTTGAGTGGCTAAGCCCAGTTACTGCTGGGTGATTTTGTACATGGCATGATGCCGACATGTTGGTTTAGCCACCCGCTTCTCCAAAGGGAATTGTGCCATCTGCGGGTTTTTGTTTGTAGTGAGCCTACGGTAGAGCAAATTCTTCTGCGTGACTCATAAACGGGGTCAACCACTTGCCCTCCCGACCTCTAGTTCATAGCCCTTAGTGTCCTTTCTGAACGCTCTGCCTAAGTGGACTGGAAGAAGAATTCACCCCCCCCCAAAAAAAAAAAGAAAGAAGAAAAGCAAAAGGGAATGCATGTAAAAGCAACAATACAGTTGCCACCTAAAACTCCAAAGCTGCTACAAACTGGATGGAGTTTGACGCCTGAAGTCCAGTTGCCACGTAAAACTTCCAAGACAAACTGACCTGAAGGCTCCAGTTGGTAATCCCTTCCCCCTAATAATGAACCCGCCCCCCCCCCCTCCCCCCTATTAGTAAATCAGCCTCCGGGGCGAACATATTTATTAACAGGGTCTTTTTGGGTCTGATGGGGCCCCCGGAGACAAAGATAATTACTCATCCCTGGAAGCAGACCTAAAATCGATCTTGTCAAATGGTTTGCAATACATTTATTTGGTTTGGGTCAGCACAAATTTGTGCGGGGTCAGAGAGACAGACATTGAGGGCAGCGCATCGATGCCGTTCTGCTTAAGCAGACGTTGTAGTGGGAACCGCAAAGGCAAGGCAGGTAGGACAGTGAAGCCCCTTTGTGTTCCCAACAACCCCCGAATTAGTACATATGGTTTGAGGGAGGCAGGTCAGGCAGGGCAACGCAAAGGCGAGGCAGGCACGACAGTTAAGCCGCTCTGTCTAATTACCAGTTGGTTCAAAAACACTTCCCTCAGCTTGTTAATTATTGGGTTGTTGCAAGGAGCTTGGGTCCTGGACTAATTACCCACCCCCGAATAAGGCTGGGGCTGGTCTGGGTGAGAAATCCGAGAGTTTAGTATTGGTTTTGACTTGGCCTATTCTAAAAGTAGTATTGGGGACCCGGCGGTCTGGGAAAAATAGTATTTATTAATAGGGTTCGTTTATTAACAGGGGGAAGGGATTACCCCAAAACTGCCAAAGTGGCTCATCCCAGAATTTGCCTACGCTCCCCAGTAGTGCCCTTTCTCCCCCCCTTTTTGGTTGGGAGGGTTCCCCTACTAAAATAGACTATAGAAAAAAGTTGGTACCCTTATTCTGACCTCTCAAATCTGGATGACCTAGCTTCAGTCAAGATTCCCCATAAGAACCATCCAAAAAGATGGATTTTGCCTGAAGGCTGCAGTTGGTATCCCCCAAAACTGCCACAGTGAGTTTCTCCCGGGTATTTGCAGTACTTCACTGTTCTTGGCATGTTTTTGTTTTTTGTTTTTGGTGTTTTGGTTCTGTTCATTTTTACTGGGGGTCTGCAAAAAACAGTCAGTTGTTTTGCCAGCCCATACCAAGAGTAGAGATGAGTATTTGTCAGGTTTCCTACGCCAAGCAGTGCAAAGTTTACGCCAGGCGGCGCCGGAGCTGAAAGAGCTGGGCGCGGGCATCAATATCCAGGCGGTCGCGGTGGGCGCGGCACTCGGAACTCCCGGCGCATAGGAATTGGGGGGGCGGGGGCCTTCCTTGTTGGGCATTCGAGAACAAGGGTTAGAAACATATAATAATAATAATAATAATAATAATAATAATAATACTAATAATAATAATAATAAAAAAAATAATAATAATAATACTAAGAATAACAATGATACGAATAATAATAATAATAGTAAAAGTAGTAACAATAATAACAGAAACTATATATTTTTAGTAATATTATTATTATTATTATTATTATTATTATTAATATTAATATTAATATTAATATTATTAATATTATTAGTATTATTATTATTATTGTTATTGTTATTATTATTATTATTATTATTATTATTATTATTATAAACCAGGCTCCCGCCTGCTGCCGCCGACCCTCGGCGCATGAAGGGAAAAGTCACAAGGACCGGTCCTGAAACACGTCCGCAAACCCAGGGACCACTTATAAGACCCTCTACGACCACAAAGAAGGATTAACGGAAAAGTCAGAAATATGGCAGCTAGTCCGTTAATTACCGCTTGGGCCGGCTTGCGCCCAAGTCACTTCGAGTTGGCCCGGGAGCAGTCGCCTCTCCCGGGGTCGCCCTGAAACTGGCCCTCCCGAAGTTGTCCTGGACCGGTCCCAGGACCAGTCCCAGGATGGGACCGGTCCCAGGACCGGTTGGGGCAGGACCGCTTTCAGGACTGAAGCCGGTCCCGGATCGAGTCCTGGTCGCTGGCACTTCAAACTGCTGTGATGCCACCTCAAACCGCTCCAGACGCCTTTCCGGACTGGCACCCGTGTTTCAGGACACTGGACAGGGTCACAGGTCCCAGTCACTCCCTGCGACCGGTTGAGGGGCACCGACGGCCTTGTTTCTAGGACCAGCTCAACGTGACTTGGGCACAAGCCGGCCCGTGCGGTTATTGACGGACGAGCTGCCATCTGTCTGACTTTTCCGTGTGGTAGTAGAGGATCCCTGGATCTATTCTGCAAGAGAGTCCAATACGTCGAGTCAAACCGCGCCAGGACCAGCCGCCAGTCCCAGGACCGGTCCCAGGACTGGTTCCAGGAGCGAAGTAATCTGAAACAACAGAAGTCCCAGGACTGGTCCCAGGACCGGTCCCGGGACCGGTCCCGGAAATCCACTTTTCGTGCGTTTGGGCGTGTCCCCAGGGACCATCATTGATTCCAATCACTTTTAGTTGCATCCCACGCCGGTCCCCCTCTGCAGGAGGCTGGGACGGGAGGCAGAGAGTCGGCGGATTTAAAAAAAAATGGTTGGGTGTTCTCAATTTGAAGGGGTTCCCCTTTATATCGCAGAAAATTGGTCTGCCTTTTTCTGAGGGTACCCCTTCTCGAGTGGTTTCAACTGGAAGCCCAAAGGACGCTTGCCCCTTGTGCTTGGGGGGGACAGGGGGGGAGGGTTGGCCCCATGTTTTGAAAAACAAGTGATGGGAATCGACAACTTTGCGAAAGATCGGAGCACACGCAATGCTGACCGAAGGTTCAGGTTCTTTGTACTTGCCCCTTCTGGCTACCCTTTGGACCGATCTGTGTATTTCCTTCGGATGCGATGCGATGACATGTAGACTGACTTGCAAAATGGAGGGGATGAGCCATGTGGCCGGAAATACTAGGTCTTTCTTGGGGGAGGGCAAGCCCCCACTAAAATCCGCCGACCCTCTGCCTCCCGTCCCAGCCCCCTGCAGAGGGGACCGGCGTGGGATGCAACTGGAAGTGATTGGAATCAATGATGGTCCCTGGGGGACACGCCCAAACGCACGAAAAGTGGATTTCTAGGACCGGGACCGGTCCTGGGACCCTGGTTCTGCTGTTTCAGATTACTTGTAGTCAGTCCAAGCACCGGTCCTGGGACCGGTCCTGGACCTGTCCTGAAAGGTCCCGGCCAAGACCGCTTTCAGGACTGTCCCGGGATGGAGTCCTGGTGTGACTGCTGGTATCGCTGTGGCCCCACCTCAAACCGCTCCAGACACCTTTCCGGACTGGCACCTGTGTTTCAGGACACTGGACAGGGTCACAGGTCCCAGTCACTCCCTGCGACCGGTTGAGGGGCACCGACGGCCTTGTTTCTAGGACCAGCTCAACGTGACTTGGGCACAAGCCGGCCCGTGCGGTTATTGACGAGCTGCCATCTGTCTGACTTTTCCGTTAATCCTTGTGGTAGTAGAGGATCCCTGGAATTCGACCGGTCCAGGGCAACTTCGGGAGGGCCAGTTTCAGGGCGACCCCGGGAGAGGCGACTGCTCCCAGGCCAACTCGAAGTGACTTGGGCGCAAGCCGGCCCAAGCGGTAATTAACGGACTAGCTGCCATATTTCTGACTTTTCCGTTAATCCTTGTTTGTGGTCGTAGAGGATCTTATAAGTGGTCCCTGGGTTTGCGGACGTGTTTCAGGACCGGTCCTTGTGACTTTTCCCTTAATGCCGAGGGTCGGCGGCAGCAGGCGGGAGCCTGGTTAATCCGGCCACCGGACGTGATCGGGCCGCAGGCCAAAGCCCGGTAGGGCTTACCTTCAGGTATAAGGCCGCGCGCCCCATGCCGCCGACCATGCGCAGAACATGCGCCGACCATGCGCCGACCATGCGCCGACCATGCTCCGACCATGCGCATACGTTTTGTACTGGGCCCACCCTTAAAAAAAAAGGGGCGAAGGATTCGCGGATTGGCTTAGGCGATTTCCGAGGAACCACAAACGAGTCCAAAAACGAGTGTTTTTAGGGGGTGCCTACTACTGGACTACACCCCCAGCATTGCCAGCATCATCCCGGATGATGCGGATGATGCTATGCATGCTGACGATGCGAAACAAGGGGCTGAAGGGGAAATGCAAGGAAACAGGAGTGACTGGAAGTGAACGAGATGAAAAGCAAAGGAATTGCACGCAGAAACCGAGATGCAGGAAAATGCACGGGCAGAACGTGAAGAACCGGACAGCGGGAACGAAAAGGGAAAGGAATGCGAATAAACAATTCATGGGAAATTGCTGGATGGAATGGGCTGGAAAAAGGATGGACAAAAAGGATGCAAAATTGATGGAAATGAAGGGGCGTTGATGAACAAAATGCGGGAAATGGAGGGAAAGGGGATGGATGGAAAATGTGTGGACAATTGATGGAAAGTTCCTGGAAAATGCATTGATGGAATGAATGGAAAAAGGATTGCAACAGGGTGCAACAATTGAGCATCCATGGCGGACATTGCTTCGGATGATGCAGTCGATGCAGGGGGTGCTGTCCACGCCGGTCAGGGACGTGTGGGGAAATGAAGGGAAAGGTGAATGGAAATGGATGCACTGGAAAGAAACCGAGATGCATGGAAAATAGTGGAAGGAAGTGAAGGGACATGCCAGGAAACTGTCAGGGAAGACATGCAAAGGAAGTGAAGTTCAAATCATCCCGACAACTCACAGGACTTGGAGGGAAAGGAAATGAAAGAAATGAAAGAACGGGAAGGGGTGCCCGGTGGCCGGCTGTGTCGCGTCAGCGTGTAAATAGACTGCAGAAAAAAGGGGTACCCTTAGTCTAACCTCTCTGGAGGACCTAGTTAGATATCTGGCGTAAAGGCCACTGCGTCAGATGTCAAAGGCCCAAATGAGTGGTTTCACCGCAGGGAAGTCATTTAGTAAAAAAATGGACACTGGCATGAGTGCAGAAGGAGGGAGATGTGTTCTACATGTCCCATTGTTTTTTGCGAATGGAGCGTAAGCATAAGGGCGGCTGAAGGCAATCTGGTTTTGCTTTGAGAAAACCACCTCTCTGTTTGCAGCAGCTGCATGCCGAAACCTAGTGCCAGAAAAACCTCACTTCTCCAAAGCGAATCGACCTTTTGACCTTTTGGTGTTCCTTTGGTGGACCCATTTTTGGTGGCACCATTTTTAGTCATGGCGCCAAAAGGTGATCACCTGTCATATCTCTAATAGGGCCAAAAGCCTGTAAAGCGAAGGCGACCCTGAGAAACGAAGCCAGCAAGGTGAGAACCTTCGCAAAAGGAAGGCGACCCTTTGAAATGCTTTAAAATCATTAAAATTAATGAAGGCTTTAGAACCAAAATCAAATTGGGAGGCTTTAGAATGACAAATCAACAAAAAGAAAGAAACCGAAGCCTCCAGAGATATGTCATTCCTGCCCCTTGTATTTTTGGAGATGGCTCAAGCAGCAACGACGGTAAGTTAGGGACCCTTACAGAACGCAAGTGCGTGGCTTGGGTGCCCGACATGGCGACACGCCTCAGACGCGCCCCACAAACTCTGAGTCGCATGCAAGCTTTGTAAGCAGAACCGTTGCTTGCCCCATGATATCAATGAGGAACTTCAAGAAAAGTTGGGACTCCAAGAAAACGGGGTGTTCCTTCATGTTTCTCCAAACCAGCTCGCAAAAACACACCCATGCATGCGTGCATTATGTGTGTTTGTGTGTTTGTTTGTTTGTTTGTTTGTTTGTTTGTTTGGTTGTTTGGTTGGTTGGTTGGTTGGTTGGTTGGTTGGTTGGTTGTTTGAGGGGCACGTGCTGGTGAAGCAGTTGGCGTATCATACTTATATCCCATGCGCATCAATACATAGCAATGCAGATGTACACACAAGCCATACGTTCTCTTTCTCACGCATGCTAAACAAGGGGGTTGCTGCTTGGCCTTAGGTGTGTTGCTGGATCTGGGCATCCCACTCGAGAAGTTTCATGGTGAGGAAGGACTGGCTACGGTCCGGATGTGAAAAGCCAACGTCAGGTAATTAGGTTGCGACCTACTTAGTTGGTTGAACATCCATCCAACTTACTAGCTAGGTTAACACTCGTGTAACTGGGGAGATCGGCCTTACCATGGGGATAACCTCCTTTCCTGACGTTGGTTGAACATCCGAGTAAGGAGTTCACAAGGTTTGCAACTGTCAGTTCCATCACGGCGATGTTTCACCTCGCGGGGCGGTGGAGCCGGGTGACAACCCACCATGTGGGTATGTGTCGAGCTAGGGGGGCCAACAAATGGTGCTTTTCCTTTGATGTCCCTATAGTTACCAGGAAACCTGTCTGACAAGGCTACCCACAAAGCACCTCAACCATATATTTAACTCATCGTCCCTGAAAGGAACCACAGCGTGATGGTTGGTGTGTGTTTTGCTTTTCGGGACCTTCTTCCGTCGATGGCATTCCCCCCCCCCTCAAGTGCTGATCGCCACGTCCCCGGGTCACAGTGTCTTCCGACGACTCACTTTCCAAGTTCCTGAACTTTATGCTTTGAGAAGACCATTTTGGTGAGAGTTGGTGGTAAATGACATGTTCTGACTTTGTTTGCCAATCCATTCAGGAAGGAAGACAAAGGTTTCCTTGCTGTTCAGCCTATCCAAAATGAGCGGTCCAATTTGCATGGCCCATGATTTTTGACAGATTCCAGGGAAAAATCGGCGTGGCTCAATTCCGCCTAATTCCGCCTAGATTGTGCCTTGAAACGGGTGACAGGAAAAAGAAGCACGCCTGAGCTGTGAAGAGTTTCAGGTTTGTACCTATGCAACCAAGGCACTGAAAGGTTTTTTTCCAACCAGCGATTCATTTGTAACTTAGATTCCTGAGGGAATCTGAAGGATTGCACAGCTTCAGGATCATTTTGGTGGCAAAAGTGCCAAGGAAATAGCTGTAAGGAAATCAGAAATGCTGATCTTCCAAGCTCTGGAAAGGGGCAACGCCAACAAAAAGACCCTAAAAATGTTCGTGGCAAACGCAACGTTGCTTGACTTTTGCCAATCCACTCAAGTGAGACACTGACTTTGCTCGCAGGAGACTGCATCCTGACCGGTGCAGTGGAGTACTTGACCCCTGAAGGGTTTTTCATCGCCTCGGAGGCTGTAGGGCCTCTTGGCCGCATCGACTTCTGTTTTCTCTTTTTGTTCGGCCCCAGGCATCGGCGCATGCCAGTTCATTGCGTGCTGTTTGCTCGCTCGACTTTCATTGAGCCGATCCTTTTCAACTGCCAAAGGTCCCCCCCCCCCCGAGATTGACGTGGGAGAAGGAGGGAGCCTTAAATAAGCCCTCATGAAGCCCCTTATCCCTAACAAGGTTTTATTTGAGCCGCCCCCCCCCCCCCGCACTCCCTCCCCCCAAGCCCCCATGATTCCAGGACCTCTTTCAAAGACTTGGTTCCATTTACAGAGAGAGGCCAGCTGGCAGCTTCCGGCTGTTAGTCTGAGGCAGGGTAGCAGTTTCATTGGAACGGAACTCACTGGTGCTAGTTTGCGTTTGCTCGTTGAGCAAATCGATCAACTTTTGATCGGGGTAGAATGACGCCGGTTCCATGGTCGCGAGCTCATGCTTGCATTCAATAGCGGTATGTCAAGCAAAATTGGGATCCGCTTGGTGGTTGCATGAGGCCCACGCGAAAAAAGACAAGCCCATGCCCAAGCAAGACCAGCTATGTTTGCTGCAAGTGAACCAGCAAGCATTTGTAAGCAAGCAAGCATCCGTAGTCGTTCAAAGGTTGGCGCAGGGTTTGGGCGTTCCAACGGACTCACCTTGACACATCCGATCAAGTTGCCATGCAAAGAAGCTCCAAGTCGGGATGACCCAACATGGGGACTCTTTCGGCATGTGGGGACTTAATTACTCACTTGCCCAAAACGAGTCGACCTGAAATCACCTTTTGGGTTCTCCCTGTTTCGCAAACACTTTTAGTAAAGCGCCCGAAAGGCAATTTTGTTGAGTCTGTGGACTTTGGCTTTTTGGTGAAACAGTTCGGGTTTTCCATTGAACCCCCCCAAAAAAAGCTTTTTGCAGAGGGGTCTCGCCAGGCAACCAAGAAGTCCAAGAACGCTACATAGCTTTTGAGCATACCCCAACCCTCCGATGAGAATTGCTTTCATTTGGGGTCCAGGATGTGCTCCACAGCTGTGTTGGAGGGTTCTTGGAAGAAGGTGATCACCCTTTTCCAGGTTTCGGAGGCAAAAGTTGGACATGTGTTCGTTTCTTCAGTTCTTGCTTTTTTTTTTGGGAGGGGGGGGGGGGGGTTCCCCATATTTTCAGTGGCCCCAAAAAAAAGCCGTTTGACCCGTTTCTTGCTGGGTCCCAACCGGGGGGGGGGGGGTTCAGAGGGGTGACGTCTCAGGCTGAAGGCTGGGGCTCCGCACCCGCAGCTGTCGGCGCATCGGGCTCCTTGGGTTGAGGGAGCCGTGAGAGTTGGCGGGGCCTACGGGCCGCGAAGAAGTAAAGGGTGGGGGGTGGGGGTGGGGTGGGGGTGCGGTGCAGTGGGGTTGGGGTTGGAGTGGGGACGGGGGCAGTGGGTTTCCCTAGCTGGTGGGCCTTGAAATAAGGAGCCTTTGGGAGCTACCAGGAGTTTGGGACAATTTCCAGTGAATTGATCAACCGCTGATTTAGGGAAATCGCGGCTGCCCCTGCCAAAGGGGGTTTGTCCCCCTTTCTAGTGGATCCCAGTTACCCTTGTAGTAGGTATATTCCCTTTGGTATGTAAGGATTCAATAGTGGTTCCCACATTTACAGGCAAATGCATCCACTGGGAAAGGGTATCCCTGTAAACCAACTCCGAGCAGGAAACCTTGCCTCAAAACCCCTGCTACGTGGGGGTCAATCGGACCCAGTCTGACCTTTTGACGCTTTTGCCCGTTGGGCCCAGGCTGGATCCTAGGTCCTGGTGACCACTTTCACCACATGTTGGGCTTGGACCAGGAATCTCGAAATGGGTAGTTGAGAGCTTGGCGGGTTCCATCAACCTCCTTGGGCTTCCAGCTCAGGTTCCCTAAGAGAGTCAAAGGGGATCCCCCCTTTTTGGCCCAACCCTTGCGAGCTTTCGAGTTCCTCAACGGTTCCTTAGATTTTCCTAAGAAAATCTCAGCAAGAATCCCATCCCCGGACCACCCCTCAAACACCATCCCCCGACCTCCGGGGAGCCCCGCCCCCTTAGGCCCCTAAAACACTCCAAAGTAAGCTGAGGCAAAGTTCCACAATGTGCTGGTCACGGAGTGCCGACGCCTACTGGGCGAGGCTCGCAGCCGGCTTTTGGGAACAGGGCTCCCGAGGTGTGTCAGTTTTCAAGGGACCCCCCAAAATGGTGGTTTTCCCTTGTGGGGTCCCTTTGAAGCCGACCCAAAGAGGGCTCCCCCCCCAAGACGACACCATTTTTGCCCTGCTAGAGAAGCTCCGGGCCTCGGAGAACCTTCGGCCTTCCGACTTCAAAGGTTCCTTCGGCCAAGGGTCCTCGAGCCAGCCAGGCATCGAGGTGTTCGCTTTCACTGGCCCAAAACGAATCGCTTCCGCGTGCGACCCTTCAGTTTCCCCCTTTTGGCATCCATTTTTACCTTTCAGGTCCCAATAGGGGCATCCATTTTCAGTTTTCAGGCCCCACGAGGGGCTCACCCTTTATTTGCAGGTCCCTAAAACGCAACGGAGAGTTGGCAGGTGGTTTATCCTTCCAAGGGTTTCCATCCATCGCCTCGCAGAGCTCCGTGCCCATGTTTGTTGGGTTTCTTTGGAGGGGAGTGCCTTGTTTTTGTTCCCCTTTGGTTACCCGTGCCCCGCAAAGCTCCGGACCATTTTAATGGCCGGTGGTGCCTAGGTGCGTCCTTTCTTTTTTGGAGGGAGGTCCCCCCCCCAAAAAAAAGGAACAGAAAAATATTAAGTAAACAAAAAACCATGGCCTCTGAATCTTACCCTTATTGGTGGTTTGGGATTTGAACAAGCGAAAGGCAGCCGACGCCTTTGCTCCAGGAGCGGCTAGTGCTCAGCAGCCGCTTTTTGCAGCTGGAGCGAGCCGAGGAGCGGAGCGGACGCCGAGCAGCTGGATGTGCGCCAAACCTGGCTGTGACCCCTTGGCCTTTCCTTCAAGGTACCCCCTTTTGGAGCAGCTTTAAAGGGAAACCAACAGGAAAACCACTTTTTGTTTTAGTTATTTTTTTGAGGGGGGGGTGGGCTATTTTAAGGCAACCATTTTTGTTTCGGGAGGTGGACCAACATGAACTTGCATGGGGCAGTGGCTGGCGAGTTTGTTTTCCTTCCGATTTCGGAGAGATTGCTGGAGAGTTGGTTCTGCGTGCCGGAATCTTTCCGAAGGTTCCATGATGTGGATGTGTGCGTCTTTGGGGAGGGGGTGCTAGGAAGCGTTACAGGTGTTTGTTGTTTTCTGCTGGAGAGTTGGTTCCGGAAAGTTCGGGAGTCCGAAAGGTTCCAAAACTTAGCGGTCTTCCACGTGGTTGCTTGACCTGACTGGGCTAATGGCTTTCTTGTTGTCGTGTTATGTTTGTTGGGGGTTGGGCCAGCGTTTTGATTGCCTTTTTGGCTTCCTAGCTGGTTCTTTGGCGTTCCAAAACCGGCTAACAAAACCAATGCCATTAAGGGCGAAATCCATGAAAGAACCAGCTAGAAATCATCTTCCCACCGAATGAGTCAAGTCGCCAAGGTTCTGGGCAAGTTCCGGACAGGTTTCGGTGATTTTGCCCTTCGGAAGCATAGGATGGTTCGAAAGGAGACACTCGGCCTTCATGGGTTCTCCTCACCGATCGGTCAAAACCCGTGAGTACGAGGTGCCGAGCCTGTCACGCTCGCGGTGCGTTTTTTTTAGGGGGTCGAATTCTTACGCTTCCCATTGTTATTTTTATCTTGGGGGGGGGTGTCTCCTTGTCCCTTCAGAAGCGAGTGGAAACCCCCTTTCCTGTCCTAAAAACACAGGCCGATTTCTGTAGACTTTGCAGATGCCAGTTGCCCAGTGGTGCCCTTTTTGCCTCCTTTGTTTGGGGAAGGCTTCCCTTGAAACTCAACCAACGAGAAAAAATAGAGTGGATGTCCTTTTTTTCGCCCTGGCCACTGGGCATCTGAGAGATACTTCGCAGGATGGTCAAGTCGTGCTTCACTTTGAGAACAGCACCACCAAGGAGAAGCTTCCACCGGTGCCCTGACAAACCCGTAGGCCTGGCCCGTGGACTATTCTGCTCTCCACCAACATGGCACTCACCAAGATTAAAGCGGAATTGTCTTCCAGGACCCCGAAAAGTCAGGCTTTATGTTAGTGGTAAACTTTTTAGGGAGATAATTGCAATGATTCTTTCTGGCATACCCACAGTGAGGCATGGAACCAAAACAGGGATCCACAAAAGGAGTTTCCTCTAAAACCAGCTCGAGCCACGAATTACTCAAGGCCAGGAGGTTCGGGACAATGTACCATTAGAAACAAGCACCATGTAAAAGCAGAATCACTGGTTTTTGGAGGAGCAGGAGCCGGGGAGAGTGAGAATGACTCTACACATGTCGACTGGTTGCAATTTGTTCCAAAGGAAACGGGCTGCATATTTTCTGCAGTGGTTTTCCCAGCCAGCCGCCCGCCCCCCCCCCCCCCCCTATTTACTCCCAGAGGTTGTGCCAAACCTGTTGCCGTCCGCCAGGAGGCAAGAGGGCCCGCTGGCAGTCATGCATCTTTGGATGTTCAACCAACTTAGTTTGTAGGTTATAATCATGGTTTTGAGGGGAGCAACCCCAGTTACACCAATCATAACCATGGTTATAACCTACTCACTAAGGATTCTTCGCAGAACCATGACCACCGCAAGATTCGGAGTTTTGACAATGGTGCCAATTATGAAAAGATATGAAGGGTAAATGTTTGGGTGGTTTACTTTGGTTTGCCTTCAACGCCTCCAAAAACCCCCACCCACTTGCCCACACGCACACACACCCACACCACACCACACCCCACACCCCACACCCCACACCCCACACGCACACGCACAGACACAGACACAGACACAGACACAGACCACGACACACACACACACACACACACACACACATTTGGACAAGAGCCCCAAAGCCCCTGCTGGCCATTTTTGAATTTAACTGTTGGTTTCTTAAATGTACAAGCCTACACATAGCACGCGAGTTGTTGTTGCGGGCACCTTGGAACCAAGAGGGCCCACCAGAAACGCGTGTCTTTTTTTTGCGGGCTTCTTGTTTTTCAAGACCCACCGGAAACCAAGCTCTTTTTTTTTGGGGGGGGGGGAGGTCCCCCGATTTTGACACAATCAAAGTTGTGGCTCTCGAGGTACGCTGCGACTTCGTGGTGGGGGCGGATGGCCTCAAGAGCCGCGTCAGGGGGCAGCTGCTGGGGGACGGAGCACCCAGGCGCGGTCGGCGGGCGGTTTCATCGAGGCAAATGCGGGTTTTAACTTGTTCCCCCAGCTAGGTGCCCGCTCTTTCTTACCCTTTTTTTGGGGTTGAGAACCTTTTTCCTACCAGTGAACCGGGGGTGACTTTGATCATGCTGAACCCAGTGCATTTCCTAGGTTCCCCCAGCTTGGTGCCACCTCTTTTACCCCTTTTTTGTTGGGAGGGAGGGTTCCCATACTAAAATAGACTTTTCTGAAAAAAGTTGGTACCCTTGTTCTAACCTCTCTACTGGAGGACCTAGTTTTGGACCTGAATCATTCGGGCAACCCTTTTTGTTGGTTTTTACAGAGGAATCATGATTCCAGGGTTTCTGAACGGTGGTGCGAAGGATTCGTCCATCCGCAGTATGACACCCCGTTTCAGCAGTGGCCCATATGAGTCCCCCAGCAACGCTGCCATGTTCGCGGGAGGAAGATGTTCGGGCGGTGAATTTGAATGACGTGCTTACCGTTGCTTTTGGACGGCTCGCTCACATTCTGACGCTAAAGCTTGGACCTGCACGCAAAAACATCGGCGAATGGTCCCTTAGAGTTTCAACCCCCCAAGCATCTTAGATCAGTCGACCTAAATCTCGCAAGCTTGCAACCAGTGCCTAGGATTGAGGGCCTTTGGATGATATGAACTTGCCCGCTCGCCCCTCAGACTAGGATTGACCCACCTCATTGTTGAAACACATGGGAACCTTGTCAGCGGACTGGCAAAACATCCAAAGGCGTGGTTGTGCTCCCACTTGCTAGTAAGCAGGGAGTCGAAACGCGACTGAGCAGGCATTGGAAAGTGCAAGGGTCCACATGTGTGTCCCTTGGGTATTTTCACAATCATCTACTGGCTCCATTCGTTTACTTTCAGTTTGAGTGGTAAACAACAAGTGTCGACTTCTTTTTGCTACTCAAATATTTTTTCAGCGAGCCACTTGGCTAATCCATGCTTGTTGTTGGGAACAAATACGTTTTTGCTTATTGCGGTTTTTCGTGGTTGAAATCCAACCACTTAACTGCCAAAATCTCTCAATTCTTGCTCCCCAAACCCAACGTCAACCAAGAATCCACTCCAGCTTGGCCAAAACCGCGACCCAGTGGCCTTGCGACCCGCGGGGAGCAATCGATCTGATGGTCCGCCATGTCGCGATGGCCGTTGATTCTCGCCTTGGGGGCGCTGGCAACGATGGCCGCGCGCCTCGGCTGCCCTGGCGCCTTTTTTTCCCATGGCCACTGGGCATTTGAATAAGGGTTATCAAAGTCAGAAACCGGAATTGGTGGTTTCCCTTTAACCCACCACTTGGGGGGTTGACAATGGTAGAGTTGAGGCCAGTTGTGTGCGGCTCAAATCGAAAAGCTTGGGGGTACAGTGTTTTCTTTTTCTTTTTGTTCTCTTTTTTCTGTGTAGCTGACATGTTGGGTACCATGTTTCGACAGCCATTCAAGCAACCGTTTGGCCCTTTTGCCCTTTTGCTGGGTTTGGCAATGGACACTAATTACTCGGCTGATCAACTTTTGATTTGGGGAATCCAGTGACTTCTGTGAAGCTGTTGGAAAGATCGCAGGGAAATCATGAATGGGTCAGTTCAGACTCCATCCAGTTCAGTCGGCAAGCGGAGGAGGGCTTGGCGATGTGCCACATTGCCATTGGGAGCCACCCCTCAGGCTTCTGGATAGCTGTTCTAGTTGTACTTCCCATTCGGACATGTACACATATGGATGGCCCGTCTCTTTTTTAAGCTCGTACCCCTCGTTTGTGGGAACCGAGAAGGAGAAACACAACTTATGGCCCCCCCTCCCAAACAACAAGGCATATCTGTACTTTGGCGCAAACCATGGGCGAGAAACTAGACCAATCCTTGCAAGCATCGAAAGGGAAACCTCAACGCGCCGAAACAGCCACATGTTGAGGTGCTCGCAGCGCATTTAGACATGGGACCCCAACATGCTTGGAAAAGGGATAAGTGTGTCTTTTTCATGCCCCCCTATTATATGTATATATATAGTTGTATTCCTTGCAATTCCATTCTGGATTCATAGATCTTTGTTGATTGTTTT